ACAGAAACAAAGAAAATATAACTCTACTGAACTATTATGTAATATTAGTCCTACTATATGGAAGTAAATGCTGAACTGTAGGACAATCCTCATATGGCTGAATGCTGGACAATCTCCTCACAGATGAAGAAGAGACTTGAAGAAACAGAAACAAAGAAAAGATTACTGAACTGTTATGTAATATTAGTCCTCATATATGGCAGTGAATGCGGGACAATCTCCTCACAGATGAAGAAGAGACTTGAAGCATGAGAAACAAAGAAAAGAGTACTGAACTGTGACGTAATATCAGTCCTCCTATATAGCAATGAATGCTGGACAATCTCCTCACAGATGAAGAAGAGACTTGAAGCAATAGGAACAAATAAAGGAGCACTAACCTGTTACGTAATATCAGTCTTCCTATATGGCAGTGAATGCTGGACAATCTCCTCACAAACGAAGAAGAGACTTGAAATAAGAGAAACAAAGAAAAGCGTACTGAACTGTTATGTAATATCAGTCCTCCTATCTGGCAGTGAATGCTGGACAATCTCCTCACAGATGAAGAAGACTTGAAGAAACAGAAACAAAGAAAATAGTACTGAACTGTTACGTAATATCAGTCCTCCTATATAGCAGTGAATGCTGGACAATCTCCTCACAGATGAAGAAGAGACTTGAAGAAACAGAAACAAAGAAAAATAGTACTGAACTGTTATGTAATATCAGTCCTCCCATATGGCAGTGAATGCTGGACAATCTCCTCACAAACGAAGAAGAGACTTGAAGAAACAGAAACAAAAAGATTACTGAACTGTTATGTAATATTAGTCCTCCTATATGGCAGTGAATGCTGGACAATCTCCTCACAGATGAAGAAGAGACTTGAAGAAACAGAAACAAAAAAAATAGTACTGAACTGTTATGTAATATTAGTCCTCCTATATGGCAGTGAATGCTGACAATCTCCTCCAGATGAAGAAGAGACTTGAAGAAACAGAAACAAAAGAAAAGTGTACTGAACTGTTATGTAATATTAGTCCTCCTATATGGCAGTGAATGCGGGACAATCTCCTCACAGATGAAGAAGAGACTTGAAGAAACAGAAACAAAGAAAAGAGTACTGAACTGTTATGTAATATTAGTCCTCCTATATGGCAGTGAATGCTGGACAATCTCCTCACAGATGAAGAAGAGACTTGAAGCAACAGAAACAAAGAAAATAGTACTGAACTGTAATGTAATATTAGTCCTCCTATATGGCAGTGAATGCTGGACAATCTCCTCACAGATGAAGAAGAGACTTGAAGAAACAGAAACAAAGAAAATAAGTACTGAACTGTTATGTAATATTAGTCCTCATATATGGCAGTGAATGCGGGACAATCTCTCACAGATGAATGAGAGACTTGAAACAAACAGAAACAAAGAAAAGATTACTGAACTGTTATGCAATATTAGTCCTCATATATGGCAGTGAATGCTGGACAATCTCCTCACAGATGAAGAAGAGACTTGAAGCAATAGAAACAAAGAAAAGAGTACTGAACTGTGTTACGTAATATCAGTCCTCCTATATAGCAATGAATGCTGGACAATCTCCTCACAGATGAAGAAGAGACTTGAAATAAGAGAAACAAAGAAAAGAGTACCGAACTGTTATGTAATATCAGTCCTCCTATCTGGCAGTGAATGCTGGACAATCTCCTCATAGATAAAGAAAAGACTTGAAGCAAGAGAAACAAAGAAAAGAGTACTGAACTTCTATGTAATATCAGTCCTCCTATATGGCAGTGAATGCTGGACAATCTCTGTTTCATACACGAGCGTTGCAATTAATTTAGTAATCACAGAAGGAGTAACACGAAAACTGTAGTAGTCATTTTATTCCCAACTGCCTCGAGCGACACTCCCTCTCTCGGGGATTCAAAACCATAACAACAAAAAAGGTGTGTAACTCATCAGTGATTACTGATGATCCACCACCCTCCTCTCCAGATTCTATATATTTTTTTCATTCCTTTTTTTTCACACATAATCCTTTAAGTATGTTTGTAGTAGAATATCTGTTCCCACCTTCTGCCATGTCCTATCTGGCAAAGCGGTTTGTTTCAAGGATTCGTGGGGATTTGCAGAGCGATGACAATTACAAAATTTAAATCCTTTAAAGAAGTCTTCTATTTCCCTTGATATTTTCGGCCATCATTTTTACATTTTTGCTCGTTCTTTGCTTTTATTTAACCCAAGATGTCCTGTGTGTATTACTCGTAGTATTTCTGCTCTGAGATTTTGTGGAACCACTATGTGATCTTGATAAAACAGAATGTTTTGATGTATCGATAGATCATTCTTAAAATTAAAATAGGGCTTATCGCCTTCCTTTAATCTATCTTCTCACTTAGGCCAACCATTAAATGTAAGATGAATAACCTCCTGCAGAATGGAGTCCTTAGTTGTAACATTGATAATTATCCTCCTAGAAGCTGATCTAGTGTTTAATATGCTGTTTATGTATGTTTCAACATCTTCCTCAGTAGTGCTATTGGTTTGCTGTATTGGATTTCTGGACAGTGCATCTGATACTAGTAAGAGTTTCCCAGGGATATATTCAGCTACAGAATTATATCTCCTAAGTTTCATTAACAGTCTTTGGCATCTCAAAGGAGTGTTGTTTAAATCCTGAGTATTGATTAACGGTACCAAAGGTTTATGATCCGTCAATAGGCAAAAATGATCTAGTCCAGCGATATATCAGTCAAACTTTTCACAGGCCCATACGTTTGCTAAACATTTTCTCTATTTGAACATAATTTCTCTCTGATTGTGTCAGTGTACGAGAGACATAAGCTATGACTCTCAAATTTTTATCTTCCTCTTGAAAAATGGCTGCACCAATACCAAAGCTGCTTGCATCTGCACTAATTATTACAGGCTTTTCAGGATCATAGTAGGTTAATATTGGTGCCTGTGACTCTCGGAAATGCCTTTTCTTATGATTCATTCCAGGCCCAAATTGTATATTTCTTTAATAATTCTAGCATTGGTTGCACTGTTTCTGTTAGATTAGGCACATATTTGCCTAATATTGTGTCATTCCAAGAATCCCCCTTAAATCAGCTACTGAGGAAGGTGCTGATAGCTTTAATATAGCCCCGATCTTTTCCTTAATGGGTTGTATCCCTTTATCTGATATTACGTGTTGTTGTAGAGTAGTTTTCACAGTGGAGGCTTGTATTTCACTAAGTCTGTCCTAAAAGAGTCCGACGTACAAAACGTTAGGAGCTTGAAATAAGAGTTAATGACGCAGCAATCTAGTTGTGATGGTTGATACTTCAATGTCCGACATCGACTGACTCACTCAACACCACTGAGCCCAACTGTCGACAGCTACTACTATTACTACTACTACTACTACTACTTATTATTATGTGTGGGAGAGTCTATTAATAATAGAATAGGTACGTCAGGTATAACACGTGTCCAAAATATCGAATAATCTTTTTCCTAAATTCACGTTTATCTGAATTCAATGTTATACCTGATTTTTCTATTACTTCTAATGTTTCTCTAATTCTTCTATCATGTGCTTCCATAGTTTTACCATATCATCTCTTATTACGTGTACCTCTTCATTTTTTTTCTGGTAATTCTGTCATTCTTCGTTGAAAGATTTCTGGAACTGAGGAAATTCCAAAAGGAAGTCTCTTAACACAAAATCTTCCGAATTGTGTTATAAAAGTCGTAAGCAGACGACTTTCTCTATCTAACGGAACCTGGTGGAATCCGTTATCTGCATTCAGTTTTGAAAAGATTTTTGAACTCCTCAACTTGGGTGATATATCCTCCAAATTTGGTCACATAAAATGTTCCATTTTTACCGAGTTATAACGCCCCTAGAACATAAAGCTCAATCAAAACCTGTTATTTAAAATAAACAAATTATTTATTAAATTAAAATAAAATAATAGATAATTGCATTAATAAAAAAAGAAAAAGGAAATTGTTTTTCATTATTCATATCGTGTTTGTACTGATATTGGCTAACTGATTCGTTTTTATAGATTAACAACCCTTTACAAGTTATTTAAAGCCAGAAAATATTTTTAAATTGTAAGAATTTCTTTTTTAAATAATAATGGTTTAGTGATACAAGACTTACTAATTAACTGATAGCAAGGAATTTGATAAACAAACAAAAAAATATAATTTGGATATAAGTGGGGAATCAATTCTATATTAAAATCAATATATAAACTGATCCCTCATTTTGTGGCCACGGTAGTTTCTATACATCTCTATTCCAGAGAATATAAATAAATCTAAAAGACATGCCTGTGTAGCTAATCAGTATTTCATTGATTGATTCGTTTTGTACGGCTTATCAATAAACAAGAAATTATAATGTGGATATAAAGTGGGGGATCAATTCTATATTACAATCAATATATAAATTGATCCCTCACTTTGAGGCTACGGTTGCTCCTATACATTTCTATTCCAGAGAATGTAAATAAATCTAAAAGACATGCCTGTGTAGCTAATCAGTATTTCATTGATTGATTCGTTTTGTACGGCTTATCAACAAACAAGAAATTATATGGATATAAAGTGAGGGATCAATTCTATATTACAATCAATATATAAACTGATCCCTCACTTTGTAGCCACGGTAGTTTCTATGCATTTCTATTCCAGAGAATATAAATAAATCTAAAAGACATGATCGTGTAGCTAATCAGGATTTCGTTTAGTGATTCGTTTTCTACGGTTTATCAACCCTTTGCAGGTTATTTAAAGCCAGAAAATATGTTTAGATTCTAACAATCTGGTGGTGAGATAATATTGGATTACTAACATAAGTTACTAATTAACCCATAGCTGAGGGAGAAAGAATCGGTTCATATCTTTCGCAAGGTTATTTGCGCATAAATAAATATAACTGAATTAACTGGAATTGAAATTCGGCCCCCGATTAACAATTCCAAGCCACTTTCCATTACACCACCCACACATCCAAGCTTACAGCAACTGATATTCTCAAGCGGTCATCCATCTAGGTACTGACTAGGCTCGACATTGCTTAACCTCTGTGATCGTACGTTAGCCGGTGTTTCAACATGATACGGCCGTGATATGACATTATTCTAAAATTACAACGTACCACACCACTAGAGGACATATCGTTGTTATCGCAACACGTCATGTTTGCTTATAGACATCGTGTAATGTATTTTACTATTATAACAACCGAATATTAATTAACATTGCGTTTTATATCACAGAATAGATGTAATTGTCCATATATATAATTATATATATTATAATTATATAAATAATTTTATATAATTTTATATAATATACATAATAATTTATATATATGAAATATGCAAAATATATAAAATATATATAATAATATATGTAATAATTTTATATATATAAATACAAAAGTGAATATTGAATTTAAAACAACAGGCAACAGGCTATTTCATGCTAGACGCAATCGTCAGGCCACGAGTGTAAAGCAAAATAATTTAACCCAAATAAATAAATAAATAAGCAAATAAACGACTTCCGGTAAAATAACCGCCAAAATAGACTACCCACAATGCACCACTGACCCGTATCTATAAATAGCCGAGAAAAAAAAACAACACTCGTGGCCTGACGATTGCGTCTAGCATGAAACAGCCCGTCACGTCTAAATGTTGACTTCAATGTCCACTTTTATATTTACACACGCTCTATCTCTGATATTGAGCACTTTGTCCTTTTAAATATAGAATCGGCAATCTTAAGAGTATATTTCTTCTTATATATATATATATATATATATATATATATATATATATATATAAAAAGAAATATATTATAAATATATGTATATATATATATATATATATATATATATATATATATATATATATATATATATATATATATATATATAAGCAAGTGTAAATGGATAAAATCCGACAGAATGTAAAATTTTGAAAAACAAACAAAAAATCCATAAATGTAGTTAAAATGAAAGAATTGTCGACGTCAGACGTTTCGAGGGTTAAACCATTTTCAAGACAAATTCATTAAAATACAAATTCAGTTCAATATGACGAAAACGATGGACATAAAACACAAGTCTTATCCAAGAGTAAAACAGATAACTGAAAATTTTTAAAAAAAAGATCAGCTTTCCGTTTAACGTGGTCACGTCGTAGTCACGCTTTCATAACGTATTCCTAAAAGTTCGTGATTATTTTAAAAACCAGGTATAAGCAAGTGTAAATGTATATACTGTCTACTGAAACACAAAACCAAAATTCGTTTTTTTACAATATGGAAGATTGCATTTTATCCGGAAATACAGGAATTTTAAAATAATCACGAACTTTTAGGAATACGTTAAAAAAAGCGTCGCCCATGTGACTACGGCGTGACCACGTTAAACGGAAAGCTGATCTTTTTAAAAAATTTTCAGTTATCTGTTTTTTTTTGATAAGACTTGTGTTTTTATGTCCATCGTTTTCGTCATATTGAACTGAATTTGTATTTTAATGAATTTGTCTTGAAAAATGGTTTATTAAAACCGAAATTCTGACGTCGACAATTTTTTTTTTTTTAACCACATTTATGGATTTTTGTGTGTTTTTCAAAATTTCACATATATATATATATATATATATATATATATGATATATATATATATATGTGTGTGTGTGTGTGCCCTTCAGTTTTAGTTTCCCCCACCCCTTTTTCTTTTCTTTTCCTCTCCCTCCCTCTTCTTCTGATCTTTAAGAGTAGATCGTCTATTGTGTGTGTATATCACCACAAAATGTATTCTTTCCGGTTACATCTTTAATGTATTAGACATCCGACATCATTCATATTTCTCCCACTTAAACCGTCTTTGACTCACCTCTCTAAAACCTCTCTCTGTTTTAATCCCCCACCTTCTCTCGTCTCTTTAGCTCTAACATTCGTCTCACACTCTCATACTTACACTCTCTCTAAATTTTATTTTTTATTTCTGGAGCTGTTTTTTCTGTTTTCTTTTTGAATTTGTAGGTCTGATGAATTGGATCGTATTTACGATTTCAATGGAACCCATTATGACCATGGAATATTAGTGTTTAAGCCTTTTTATTATATCCTTACTCTGTCCTGGACATTGAGTTCTACCTGGATTCTATCCTCTTGGAATTTTTCTATTCAAAACAATATATATGTATGTGTATGCATGTATTTATATATATTTATATATTTTGCATATGTATGTTTATATTTACCACTAATATTATCTATCTATCTATCTATATATATATATATATATATATATATATATAATTATTAATTATAATTATATAATTATATAATTCATATAATTAGTTAACAAACATTGAAAATGAAAATATACCTACTGATCTCTACTTTCAGAAACCCAGTTTATATAATTATTTCCTGAAACATCTGGCTGTCGCTTTCTGTCAAATAAATATTCTTGGAAACCTGAAAATATAAAATACAAGCAGCTAAAGAGATTTCACAAGACTCAAGAGCCAGTCAAAATAGAGCGTTACTAAATGATATTGTATATACTCGTAAGAGGAGTAAGTAAATTCAGATCGGGAGGATATGTAGAATGGAAAATGGTTGACCCGAGACTTGAAATATCGTGTTCGAGGAAGCTTCATCATATGAAGGCTCTTGGGAAGAAGTTTTCTGAATGGAATTTCTTTCTTACCAGTGGTATACGTATGCAAATGGTTTGCCACTTTGCATGTGACGCGTTCGGTGGGGGAGGGGCGTATTCAACAATACTTATTTAAAACGGTCATTTTTGACGGGTACTATGCTAGTTCACATGACATATGACGCGTTCGGCGGAGAAGGGGCGTATTCAACAAAAAAAATCGAAAATTGTTTTTTTTTTTCACTGAAAATTATTCATTATATCCTATCCAAATATTTTACAAAAAATTACAGCCGATTACACAAGATTTCAGGCTCAATTTAAATTTATAGTTCATAACAATGCAATGAGATGAGGGAACTCATAAGGTAAATCGTAGATTTGCCTGCGGAATATCATTACATCATTGTTACATAATTATAGTGAAATCATTAAGGTTTTTTGTCAAAAGCATTTTATTTTTGGTCGTATATTAACCGTTTAAGCCCTGACCACCGCTTTACTGGCAGAGAAAAATGATTAAGATGACAAGAGTCTTTACTAGTTGCTTTTTATAAACAGAAGTTGTAAAAGTATCTCTATCTATGAAAGGCATGATGTGTGTTTGTGTGTGTGTGTGTGTGTAACGAATGTACGGCCGCAATTTTCGACGGATTTGCACCAAAATTTACATGCACATGCTCCAAGTTAGTTCGAAAGCCAAGACCGACTTTGCATTTTCCAACTCCCATCGAGAGTGGAGATAAACGATTTTTTCATGCTTCTACGGCAGTTTTCATGTAGTTTGCGGCCATTTTCTACTGGCCAGAGTGAGAGCTAATAGCTGGCTGCCACGAATAGGCAGGAAGATTCGACTGGCTAGCATGAGAGCCAACAGATGACTGATACGAATGTTAACTAGCATGCAAAAAAATCGATAGTTGCATTCGTCTCAAGTGTGAAAAATTTAAATCTGCATGGCACTTTACTCCAATTGGCTCATTCGCTTGCTTAAACTCAACGTTGATTCTGATTCCGCAGAACTGGGTTGTGTGTGAAAAGTATTTGTTGTTAACATTCTTTTTTTTCATTCAGTTTTCCAGTTACGAGTCCTTTTTAAAGCTGATCGTTTTGTGTTCATTTTGTTTAGTTCTTTTATCGTAACAGATTTAATGTTTAGTATAGAGCTTAGAAAAAAATTCGCAGTGTGAGATAGGCAAGAAGTAAGGCATGTAGCAAATATCAGCACGGCAAAGGGCACTCCTTTAAAGGCAAGGAAGGGCAAAAATATTTTACGTCAAGTGATAGCGATTGCTGTATGAATCAAGCACGGGCAACGCCAGGCCATGCTGCTAGTGTTTATATATACGACAAAACATTAAATACCAATTATTTGCGAATTTTGATTCAGCAGCTCAGGCAGAAGAATTAAAATTGTTCAGGGAACACAGGGCTCAAAGGGTTAATCTAAAATATTCCATTCTTTACAGGCTTTATTTTTGAAATGGAATAAGATTATTCTAAATTTCAGAATTTTGCTATTGCCCATCAAAATGACTTGAAGAAAGCGATCTAAAAACAACAATGGAAAAGAGAGGTAACAAAGCGTAAATAAAATAACCCCAGTTTGTTCAACTTAGGAAATTTAGGATTGCAGCCAAATTATTCAAAAATGCTGCCAATAACAAAAGAGAAAATGAAAAATGCCTAACAAATCGAATATAGCATCAAAATTTATATTATTTTTATTTATTTGTTATGTAAGTAAATACATAATTGTCAACAATGTTTCCGTAAAACTTGATATTTCCTGTAATAAATTCTTAATAAATATTATTATTTTTATTATTTTACTTAAGTGTAAGGTAGTCCGACATTTACAATTCCTTATGGCTAAGCATGAAAAGAAATGTTGTTCAAAACTGCTTAAAACCTTTAAGTGGGTATTGCTGCAAAATTATCAAATGTTGAATACGCCCCTCCTCCGCCGATCGCGTCATATGGTATTGTGGGTTTTAGTTGTGAAGGAACTGATACAACTAGGAAATGTTGCAAGCTCAAATACATATTCCGTGAAAATAGCGATAGAGTAAAGAAAAACTTGCGACGATAGGTGGGAAATGGTTCATCACCTACAAGGCTGCGTAGATGCTGGAAAGAGAAGATTGAGCAGCTCCAGCTTGAGCAATGTATTGAGGTCTGGGGTGAACTTGAAAATTTTTACGCCATTCCCCCACCCCTCTAAATAAAAGGCTCAAGAGCCAGTTAAGATTGTGAACGGTGCAGGACAAATACAGAAGGAAGAAAGGCCGCGTAAATGCTGAAAAGAGAAGATTGTGCAGCTCCAGCCCAAGTGTAACATCAATATTCCATTTCTTTTAGTCAATGAATCTCAGAAGGAGTCAGACACTTTCTAGAACGATACAAGGAGACGGGCGTTTTTTGCAGCATCTTTAGCAATGG